CAAATCAGCTTCAAAAGTGCTTTCATAGAGGAGCTGCTGGAAACGTAGTATAAATATCTGCCTTTTGTATCACAACATTTCTTTAGAAGGGCATACATAATAGTTCTTTCAGACCTAAATTTAGGAGCTGATAAGTAAAATATCAGAGAAGGTAGAAACTTCAGAGTCATCCTTGACATGTCCCCTATCTAATTGCTAACCAATTCCTGTTCATTTTTCCTGAGTGTCAATCCAGTAGAGTCTGCTGAATCCAACCACTTTGCCACTGTCTTACTTCACTCAAGTCTTGTCACATCTTACCAGGACCGTTGCAGCACCTTCTAAGTGTCTAAAGTCTGTCTAAACTTGCTCTCAATTAATACCTGGTCTTAGAATTCTATCAAAGTTAAATCAATAGTTAAGTACCATTTTTTCCTCTTAAAGTAGTAAAAACACATCAGAAAAATATATATATATGATAAAAGAAGGAAAAAGGAAATAATACTAACTTTTGTCCTATCTAACCCTCAGAGATAAAAACTAAAATTTCTGACTTCCAGGGGAGATGGTAGGGTAAGAAGACCCTAAGCTCACTTTCTCCCACAGATACAACTAGATAACACCTACACTAGTGTAAATAACCCAGAAAATGACTGATGACTGGCAGGACAGATTCTTCATAGCTAAATGTAGAGAAGTGGCCATATTGAAGAGGGTAGGAAGGGCAGAGACACAGTCAGGAACTAAATGGACCCTTGTGACTGTCCATGGGAAGGAGGGATTTTGCAGGCTTAAAGAGATGAAAAAACAGACCCTCATATCAAGCACACCAGGAACAGAGTAATGGAAAGCAATCAAGCTGAACACCAGAAAAAAATAATAATAAAAAATGATAATAAACACAGGGAACTCAATGATATCATCAAACATAATAACATTTGCATTATAAGGATTCCAGATGGAAAAGAGACAGAAAAGTTGCCAGAAAAACTTATTTGAATAAATAATAGCTGAAAACTTCATGAATCTAGGAAAATAAAAAAACCCAGATAACAAATATAAAGGAAATAAATGATAGTAATACAATAATTGTTGTAAAACCCCACTTGTATCCAAACAGAAACTCAACAAGGAAACAGTGGCTTTGAATGACACATTGGACAAGCTGAATCTAACAGATATAGTTAGAACATTCCATCCTAAAACAGGAGAATACACATTCTTTTCAAGCACCTGGAACATTCTCCAGGAAAGAGATCACATGTTAGGCCACAAAACAAGTCTCAACAAATTAAAAGAACTGAAGTCACACCATGCACCTTTACTGACCACAACACTCTGAAGCTAGAAATCATCCACAGAGAAATCTGGAAAGAACACAAATACACAAAAGTTAAGTAACATGCTACTAAACAAAGAATGATTCAACCAAGAAATAAAAAAATATATATGGGTACAAATGAAAATGAAAATGCAATAGTTCAAAACCTTTGGGATGCAACAAAAGCTGTTCTAAAGGGATATTTATAGTAATACAGGCCTCCCTCAAGAAGCAAGAAAAATCTCAATCTAACCCTACAACTAAAGGAGTTAGAAAAAGAAGAAAAAACAAAACCTAAAGCCAGTACAAGGAAGGAAATAGTAAATATTACAACAGAAATAAACAAAATAGAAACTAAGAAAACAATAGAACAGATCAATGAAACCAGGAGCTGATTCTTTGAAAAGATCAACAAAATTGAAAAATATTAGGCAGACTCTGGCTAAAGAGAGAGAGAGACAGAGAGAGCTCAAACAAACAAAAAGAGAAATGAAAGAGGAAAAGTAACAACCAACAACACAGAAATTCAAAAGATTATAAGAGAATATTAAGAAAAATTACATGCCAACAAATTGAATGACCTAGAAGAAATGGATAAATTCCTAGAAACACAACCTATTAAAACTGAAACAGAGAGAAATAGAAGATTTGAACAGACTGATTATTAGTAATGAAATTGAAATAGTAATTAAAAAAACTCCTGAGAAACAGAAGTACGGGACCAGATGGCTTCACAGGTAAATTCTATCAAACATTCAAAGAAGAGTTAATACCTACCCTTCTCAAATCATTCCAAAAAACAAAAGAGGAAGAAAAAGTATTCAAATTCATTCTGAGGCCAACAATATCCTAACAACAGATAAAGATACCACCAAAAGAAAACTACAGGCCAATCTCTCTGATGAACATAGAGGAAAAAATCTTCAACAAAATATTAGCAAACTGCATACAACAACACATTAAAAAAATCATTCACTACAATCAAGTGAGATTTATTCCTGGGATGCAATGGTGTTTCAATATTCACAAATCAATCATCATGATATATCATATCAACAAGAGAAAGGATAAAACCATATGATCATTTTGGTAGATGCAGAAAAAGTATTTGACAAAGTACAATATCCATTCATAATAAAAAATCCTAAACAAAGGAGGTTTAGAGGGAACCTCAACATAATAATGATCATATATAAAAAACCCATAGCTAACATCATATTAAATGGGGGTAAACCAAGAGTTTTTCCCCTAAGGTCAGGAGCAAGATAAGGAGGTTCACTTTCAGCATTTTTATTCAATGTAGTACTGGATGTCCTAGCCACAACAATCAGACAAGAAAAAGAAACAAAAGGCATCCAAATTGTAAAGAAGCAAAACTCTCACTATTTGCAGATGACACAACACTATATATAGAAAATCCTAAAGACTCTACCAAAATACTACCAATACTGATAAATGAATTCAGTAAGGTTGCATGATACAACGTATGTATACAGAAATCCACTGTATTTCTATATACTAATAATAAAATAGCAGAAAGAGATATTACAAAAATAATCCCACTTACAATCACACCAAAAATAATAAAATACCTAGTAATAAACTTAACCAAAGAGGTGAAGGATGTATACTCTGAAAAGTATAAAACACTAATGAAAGAAACTGAACATGACACAAATGGAAAGATAGTCCATGCAATCTACACACTGAATGCAAACTCTATCAAAATACCAACAGTGTTTTTTTCACAGAGCTAGAACAAATAATCCTGAAAATTGTATGGAACCACAAAAGACCCAACTAGCCAAGGCAATCTTAGAAAAGAAGAACAAAACTGGAGGTATCACAATCTCAGGTTTTTAAATACACTCTAAAGCTGCAGTAATCAAAACAGTATGATACTGGCGGAAAAACGGACCTGCAGATCAATGTAACAGAATGGACTGCCCAGTAGTAAATCCACAATTATACGGTCAGTTAATTTACAACAAAGGAGGCAAGAAAATGCAATGGGAAAAAGACAGTCTCTTCAGCAAATGGCGTTGGGGAAAATGGAAAACAACATGCAAAAGAATGAAACTGGATCACTTTCTTACACCATACACAAAAATAAACTGAAAATTGATTAAGGCCCTCTCTGTGAAACCTAAAGTCATAAAAATCCTAGAAGAAAGCACAGGCAGTAATTTCTCTGACATTGGCCATAGCAACCTTTTTCTACATATAGCTCCTGAAGCAATGGAAATAAAAGCACAGGTAAACCATTGAGACTATGCTAAAACAATAAGCTTCTGCACTGCAAAGGAAACAATCAATAAAACCAAAAAAGACAGCCTACTGAATGGGAGGAGATATTTGCAAATGACATATCCAATAGAGGGTTAATATCTATTATATATAAAGAACTTATACAAATCAACACCAAAAATACCCCTCAAATAATCCAGTTTAAAATGGGAAGAGGACATGTACGTCTTATCTCTTCAAATAAGACATACAGATGGCCAACAGACACATATAAAGATGCTCATGATCACTAATCATCAAGGAAATGAAATGAAAATCAAAACCACAATGAGCTATCACCCCATACTTGTCCGAATGGGTAAAAGCAAAAATACAAGAAAACAACAAGTGCTGGTGCGGATGTAGAGAGGAAAGAACCCTCAAGACTGTAGGTAGGAATGCAAACTGGTGCAGCCTCAGTGGAAAACAGTATGAAGGTTCTCAAAAATTTAAAAATAGAATTATTGCATGATCCAGCAATTGCATAAGTGGGTATTTACCCAAAGAATATGAGAACACTAATTCAAAAAGCATATGCACACCTATGTTTACTGCAATATTATTTTATAATAGCTAAATTATGGAAGCAGCCCAAGTGTCCACTGATAGATGAATGGACAAAGAATTTGTGGGAAACACACACACACACACACACACACACACACACACACACACACAAACATTGGATTATTACTTAGCCATTAAAAAGAATGAAATCTTGCCATTTGGAACAACGTGGATGGATCTAGAGAGTATAATGTTAAATAAAATAAGTCAGTCAGAGAAAGACAAATACCATATGACTTCACTCATAGTTGGAATTTAACAAAACAAATGAACAAAGAAAAAAAAGTCAAACCAAAAATACCAGACTCTTAACTATACAGAACAAACTGATGGTTACCGGGAGAGGGGCGGGGTGAGGGAATGGATTCAATAGGTGATGGGGATTAAGGAGTGAATTTGTCATGATGAGCACCGAGTGATGTATGGAATTGTTGAATCATTATATAGTACACCTGAAACTAATATAACACTGTATATCAATTATGCCAGAATTTTAAATACCTAAAATTTTTGCATATAGTCTCTCAGTCTTTCCACTTAAACAAAAATTGAATCACTGTGTATATGTGTATGGTCTATTTTATTCATGGAGCCATGTTTTTATAAAAAATACCTTTTTATGTTCTTAAACATTTTTCTGCAAAATAATTTTTAAGTGGCTGCATGGTGTGCCATTATATGGACATTCAGGTCACTTAATATTTTATTATTACAAGCAACACCACAGTAAACATCGTTGTAATTTCTTCTTTTCTTTTAATACTTAAAAACATCACGTTTCTGTTTTCTTCGATGCAATGTTGCTGTGGAGAAATTTGATATAGATTTCATTCTTCCTTCCTTTTAGGTGAACTGCTGTTTATTTCTGGAAGGTAGCAGAATTTCCTTTTTGTTTTTGGTATTCCCTGTATGGGGTTTTCCTTATTCCTCTTGGTTTTTTCTCTATAAGCCCTTCCCATTCTAAAGTCTTTCATTTTTTCAAAAATCCCGAGACATTTTCTCTATTATTTCTTCAAATATTTCATCCTAGTTTTCTTTTTCTCTTCTAAGATATTTTGTACCCAGACAATGGCACTTCTAGCTGTACCCCATATAATTCTTAGTTTTTCTATGTGCTAACTCTTCATTCTTTTCTGTGGCCTTCCAGAAGAGTTTCTTAATCTGATCTTTTAACTCATTCTTGGTTCTATTTCTCAATTACATAATCATTTTTAATAACACTTATTTCAAATTATTAATCCATATATTCTAAAAATTTACTTTCAGAAGATGTATGTTGGTCTTTGTCCTCCTAAGAAGTTGAACAATACAGTGTCTTAGTCATTTAGTCATTTATATCATTTAATCATTACAACTAAATCTTTTCTTTTAAATACTTTAAAACATTATTGCTTTCTTTCATGCAATGTTGCTGTGGAGAAATCTGAGCAAGACAGTGGGAGAAAAGATTAAGAACAAAAATTAAATCTTCTATTTGTGCATATATCTGTTTACTGCCATATTCAGTTATATGCTGTGTTTCCAGTTAGAGTTGCTTACCCTTCACTGTGTCCAGGCACTACCACACACTGAAAAGTCAACAGTCTTCCATGGTTTCATTGATTTCTCAGAGTTTTGTGGGATTGTGTGTTCCTAATGTCTGTTTCCTATTTATCTGTAATGTCTCTAGGATTGAGTTGAGACACAGAGATCTACAGATGTTCTGGTTTGCCATCTTGGTATGAACCAAAGTTTCATATAAAAATATTTATTCATATTCATTCCAATTCCCTTCAGGTAAGTCCCTAGAAATAGGAACGAACACTGTGGTATAGCATACCTAAAAATTTAAGACCTTGATACGCTTGCCAAACTGCCCAGAGTTACAAACAGAGAAACATACAGTTTTGTTAATTTACATCTAAGCTTGTTTGAACAACCTTTTTTTTTCCTCACAAATAGGCTGTTATGAACATGTGTATATCATATCCAACCACATGGGATAGCTTGTCACATGATGAACCCAACTCTTCCCTGTATCTGCCTCTGTTTCTTAGAATGAAGTTGCCTTTATTCTTTGCTAACTCCAACTCAAATATCACCTCTTGTGCGGATCCCTCCCCCAAATCCCGAGGCTTAGTCCCTCTTTTTTTTTTTTTTTATTTATAGCTCTATTACAGCAGAGTGTATCTTAATTATTGACTTTTGTGCCTGTATGTACCTCTAAATTGTAACATTCTTTTGGATAGACATTCTACTTTAATTATATCTTTACCGCCAGAGGCTTGTGAATGGCACTGTGTTAGGTAATCAGTCAATATTTGCAGGACCAATGAATGAGTCTTCAAATTACCAGAACCTGAACTAGTTGTACAAAATACTTTAAGTACATTCTTCCAGTATTCAAAACTATTTGTATTATCATCTCCAATTTATAGATAAGAAAACTACAGCTATGGGAGGGTGAGTAGCTGGTCCAAGAGAGAGCAGGGATTTGAATCCCTTCCTAATTCCAGAGTTGAGGATCAAAGTACCATAGCAAAGGGCAAACAGGTTCACTACTCATTAGGTTAGGTTGAGACTTAATCACTAGGATATCATGGTTCCTGTGAATTCTCTGTTTTGATGAATATGCATGGAGAAAATCAGAAAGATTATTCAATAAAGAGGCTCATTTGTTTCTTTGTGAAGTCACTATTTCTAACCTAATGTAATCCCATATTTGAGAGGCATCTCATTCACCATTCAGTTATTTCAAAATAAACCTGAAACTAGAAGGATTAAATTATGTCAACTGTGAGAAATAACCCAAATACCTTCCTTTTCTAATAGCCTTGCTGAGACACTACTAAATGAACAGCCACGGGAGTGCCTAGGTGGCTCAGTCAGTTAAGCTGCTGACTTCAGCTCGGGTCATGATCTCGGGGGCCTGAGATTGAGACCAACTTTAGGCTCCACACTCAGTGGGAACTGTGCTTGAGATTCTCTCTCTCCCTTTGCTTCTGTTCATGTTCTTGGTCTCTCTCTCTCTCTCAATATAAATAAACAGAATCTTTAAAACAAGTAAAAATCAAAGAACAGCCATGAAACATGACACAACCCCCATACCTTTGTAAAATAGTTCCATCTCAGGAGTTCCTAAGCTTGTATTGACTTTTAACAGTACTTCCTGATAATGGAATGGTGTAGAGAGAGCGCAGGAAGGTAGTGCCAAAAGAGGTAAGTAAACACACAAACGTGACTTGAAATACTGGGCTAAGGTATGAATACATGCCATTTAATTTCTAAACTTATCTTAAGAAATTTCAAGCATATAATTAATGACATATGATGAAAAGCTTACTGATTCTCCTATCTTTATGAAAAACTCGACAGGTGCAGCCTAGGAACCCATGTTGAATTATATAATTTTATGCCTCTGGCAGATACACATAGTTGAAGAATGACTATATGATGCCAAGTAGTCCTGAGAGGTCAAGTTTTCAACTGTCTTCATCATCAACTACCTGGCAGTCAACCAGGCTTATGAAGTAGAATGGATCACCCATGCCCCAGTCTGCTTTGACATGCTCTGGTTATTTGGGCACAGAGACATGGTCCAAGGTAAATGTCACTGATATGTATTCCCCTAAAGCTGAATAAAAACAAAGGCAGAGCTTATTGATTTTTAAAAATTAATTTCTTTCTGCCAGACTTCATTTAGGCCCATTGCCTACTTCCTTTGAGAACACCTGGGCAAGCAGAAATTTCCACTGCTGATTTAGAACATGGGAAAACTAAACTATAAAGAGCCAATTTTTTCTTGTCATTCAACACAGGGGGGAAAGGACCTTTAAGAGGGGAATAGTGAGGACACAAATTGCTAAGAGGAGTAAGGAACATATCCAGAAAAATGCCCCAGAGGTGCAAGAAATTTCACCACATTCTGATGCCATCCCTTCTGAAATTAGAGATTCTTAATGTTTGGAGAGGATTTGTTTTGTTAGTAAATTTCCATATCCACCGCTACACTGTAATTGGCCTTTTATTAAATATGTTTTTCATGGCACTTTAGCAAAGGTACATTTCAGGATTCCTAAATATGAAAGGTGAGAATCCCATGTCAAAATGGGATGGGTGGAAATTCCTTGCCAAAAAGAGAGTAAATTTAAGATGAATATACTCTCTTACCATCGAAAGACTTCTGTAAGAATAAAATACTTAGGATTTTATGAAAACATTTAGTCAGGGGTGTTCAAACTAGGAAACAAAATGTTTGACAGATCTTGCATGATCTAGATACCAAGTACGTCTCAACATGAAAGGCACATATGAAGGGTCACTTAAGAAAGTAGTTGCAATTGAGGAAACACGGTCACATTTCTTTCTTCAGTAAGCACTGTAAAATCAACCTTCTGAGCCCTCTCTCTTCCTGATACTGAAAGGAGCATCTCCTTATTAGAAGCAATGAAAATGAAATGTAACACGTGCACATCATGTCACTTTTGAATATGGGAAGATGTGATTTAGGTTTGCTCATGAACAAATGACCTTGGAGATAGTAGAGTCTTCTAACTCTTGGGTCATGACCTTGAGAGTGGAAAATAAACTGAATTATATGCAACTGGATAGACTAAGCCTGATGACTTATGCCGCGCATATTTTAAGACTGAGCACGTGACTTTATTTAAGTCAGAGCATTTTATTTTACTAAATTGTTGGACTCTTCCTTCTCTCTCTCACATTCACACATACATGCACCACGTGCACACACACACACAAACACACCCTGCTTTCAACAACTGATGGGCAAATTCAAAATTCAAGCCTATTTCACAATCCCCTAAAAATGACCCAGGGCTGGTTGCTATGCAGACATCCCTATTGCCATACAAACGTATGGTAGACGGGTATTGTTTTGTGCTGGGGAACAGATAAATGACATGGATTGAAATTATGGTAAATTTAAATTGATGGCCTAATTAGTATTATCTCTTTTTGTATTCATTGTAAGAAAAATTATCCAGGAGGAACTCATTTTGCATTAATGTTGATATAAAGTGTAATTCTCCAGGATTTTCATTGTAATTTGGCATTAATTAATGCATCATTATTTTAAAGTGTTAATTAAATTGTTACAGAAAGGGACATCTGCAGTGGCACAGAAAGGAAATCACATGAACAATTAGTTTTGTATAGGTCTGTGGTGCAGAATCCGAGATCATATGCATGGCAGCAGCAAGAAGGCCAACGTAGAGATGGCAGACAGAATTCCTCTCTGCCCCGCTTGCTGCATTGTTGACAGTATGTGACCACCTCTCTTACCTTTTCCATTGTGTTCCGGTGAAGAATACGCAGTCTCTGGAATACTGGGCATTCGTTCCGTATCCATAGGACAGAAGGCACGTCAGCAGGGCTATGGCTCTTCCTTTTTCTGGGAGCTTGGCAGATGTCACTGGCCATTCCTATGTTAGTAAAAAAATAACAGACCCTTTTTGGGTAATATTGTCTAAAGTTCTCAGAAATAGGCTGCTGTAGAAGGCGAGGTTAATATTTCTACTGGTAATAAACTCCATACAAAACTGTGACAAATCAAAGGGGAGATAATCTGTGGTAATTCCTTACGCAGTGGACCATCATTGTTAACACATCTGGAAATCATTGAGTGCTATCATGGCTTAAGATATATAATTCCAAGGAAATTCCACCATGATTTCATATATCAGGGAATCGTGGCAATCAGATAGCAATGTGGGTTGGCAAGTCAAAGGAGCTTGGGATTTGGAGGAAATATATAAAGTGGGCTTTAAACCCTCTGTCATCATGGTCTCACGAGACAGAGATATTTGCAGAATCTTGTTCTGTCAGCAACATTATCTTATATTTAGCCCTGAGGGGCTCTACTGAGCATTCTTTGTCAAGAGTTGTAAACCAAGATCCCCATAAGAAGAGGATAAAAGGATACTAGAGCATCATAACATGTAAAACTGTTAAGTCGTTTAATTGGTTATATATATATATATATTTTTTTTTTTTTTTCTGGATACCAGCTTAATATTAAGGTTACAACCTTTCCGTTAGCAGCCACAGTGGGAGTCCTAATTTCCGAGGTTCTGTGAAATTTTCCTGTTTTACAAACATAGAAGGCAAAGCCCAAATTCCTCTAATCAAATTGGAGTCAAGTCTTCCCTCCTTGCATCAAATGATACATTAGACAGAAAAGACCAGAATCACTTCATAGTGTTTTGACTGGCTCCTTAGACAGTCATTTGATTGTATCTCCTCATGAAGATGCAAACTCCCTACTGAGGAAAGTATCTCTCTGGCCATTTGTCCAGCTTGTAGACAGGTGCCAGAATCACTCAGTGAATAGTTAATTAATTGATTGATTCACGTAGCTCATGGGTAATTGCTTTCCTAAAAAGAGGTAACCACAAAACTTCTGTAAGTTCAATAGGTTCTATCTGAGGGCAACTGATTTTACAAGACCAGTATTCTCAAACCATGGTCTCAAACATTTTCATTACCTATACTGCTCATCGCTAGAAAAGGCTATGAGATGAAGCAGACTGAAAATCAAATCCAATGACAACTAAAAAGGAAGATTTAGTCATTGGGAAAAAAAAAAAAAAAAAAAAACTCTCCTGGCAGAGAAATAAATGTTTTTTGGGGAAAAAAAGTAATAATAATAGCAGGTGGTGGAGGAAAGAATAAAGCCAGACTACCACTGAAGTGCTAGAAGAATTTACTCCTCTGGCTGAAAAATGCTGCATGAGCTTAGGCTGGGGTTCACCCTGTCCCAGGGATGAAATTATCCTAATGTGATCCCTCATCTCTCAGTGAGGATTCCTCCCAGTTTCCCCAGAGATTCCTGAAGATAGGGTGTCAGTAAAATACTTTTAGTTCCCTCTGGCTCTGCACTCCTGCTTTGACCAAATTATTTCAGTTTACTGATTATCACCATGTGCTTTTATGAAACAGCTTTCTTCAGTTTGGACTCCCCACTTCTCCAAACACTTACTCGGGAACAGGTACTAGGCTGACATTATAACACAGCAACATTTTCTAACCTGAATACGACACGTGCCTGCACTCAGAGATCATTTCCCAGCCTCACCAGCACACTGAATTTCTCCAAATTCCTTTCTCCCCCCTTGTGTTCACCCCCTTTCTCTTCCTGCAGCCCAAACTTTTTCCCTCTCCCTTCTACAGTGAACTTCAGCCCGAAATTACTGCTCACTTCTTTTGCAGAACAGTTTAGCTACCTCTTTGTTTTACTGTCTACTTTCATGCTATGCCCTGAGGCCCTACACTCTGAACCAAAGGATCTGTCATTTTGCCAAACAAAGGATTTTTTCGTTTTTCTTAGGAAACAAAAGTTGCGTTCAGTTGTGGTTTGAAACAACTTTTGTTTTGCTTTGGTTTGTTTTGTTGAGTTTGTCATCTTATAGTTTCAATAGTTACCTTGGGCTCTTTAGAAAATTCTGGTTTTTTTTGTTAACACTGCCTCGGCCCCTCACATCAGATGCCAATTCCTTCCAAGCAAGTAACATGTGCCTAGTTTCCTTTGTAGGTGTTTACAAATGCCAAGTAGACTCTTCTGCCCACTCTGGGCACTAAATAAATGCTGCTGAGGAGCAAGAGCTGACAGAAATTCAAAATGATGAGCAAGAAAGCGTCTCTAGGCCCAACATCTGGATGCAGGAAAGGAAATGTGCAAAGGAGCTTTGCTACCTTCCCAGTAATAAGGAAACTTCAGGAAGGACACACAACTAGCTTTAATTTTTAAGCCTAAGATGTTCCACATTTCTTACTCTAAATTTAGTGCTGTGGCATTCAGTTAAAACCACCTTGTGTCCAATAATATACTTCCTGGTCTGCCCTGAGGTCTTCAGGAAGCATTTTATCTTTCATATAATTGCCAGGGTGAATCCCTAGTTATAACATACTCTACAGCACATAAAATAATTGTTGCAACTGAACCCATCACATAAATATTAGTGATTGAAGAGATTGGTTGGGATAAATCAATGTGGGTGACATATTTAATAAACTTTGTATAAACATTGTTTGCAACAGCTATAAATAAGATTGTCTTTAGGAATTTTACATACTGCACATCCCTCTATTCATGGAGAGGCCCAGGCAATGATTTCTAGCTGCACTCAATGACAAGCAGTGCCTTTTCAGACGTGCCCAGATCAGACCAGGCCAGCAGAGTCAGGGAGCGTGTGCCCACACCAGGCCTGGCGTGGACCACAGCTTGCTCCATGGTCCAAGCTCCCCACACCACTCACTCGTCAGAGGCCACAAGGTACAGTCTGAGGAGAACATCAAGCCAATGTGCTTCTTCTTTCTTTTTTTTCCCCCAAAGAAAAAGCCACACCATAAATAAAGCATGATCGAGATGGCATTTTACATTCACACAGATTTTGGCATAAATAAATAAAAGGGATTTTGTTCAAATTCTGTCATCCTTACATGCCATTTTCAAATTATCTTTCCCTCCCAGTTTGGCATATTGAACTAACCGGTGAGAGTCATATTGGCTCCCTCCAGTGGCTGGCTTAGCTCTGAGGAAACCACAGGGGTACATCTCAAGGCCCTGCATCCTGGTGGTTCAATGAGGAATCAATTCCTTCTGACAAAAAAAGAGCTCAGATCCCTTTGGGAATTCTGACTCACCTCAACATGTATTATCCTGCCCAGAAAGGTTTAAGGTAGATGTTGGTTTTAATTAATCTACCTCATAATCTCCCATCCAAATTGGTCTGTTCTACTGTTCCCATTTTATGGATGAAAAATAACCCACTGGAAAGCAGTGGAATGATTAAGTAATACTGGGAGGGCAAGGCAATGCCTCACATCTGAGCACAGGACCAGAGAAGGGCTTTCTCTTGGCTTAGAAGAGACCCTTCCACATTCTCTGCCTTATTATTGTTAGATTCCAAAGGATGACAAATTGTGGAAATATTTAGGTTCCTTTTTTTTTTTTTTAAAGAGGTCAGACATAATACAGTGAGTCTTCAGCTTTAAGCTTAATGAAATGTCACTTACACATTTGGAAATTCAGGTATGAACTATGAGTCTTACATTGTTTGAAATTTACAACTTTCACATTTATTTTTATTAGTAATATTTTAGTCGCTCAATATATTTCCCTGGCATTAATGGAAAAAACATGGTGTCTTCAAGCAGCCAAAATAATCCCTCTAAATTCCCACTGAGTTTAAACAAAGGCCACACAATTTAATGGCTAAAGTTACTGCTATGTATTTCTAGTGTGCTGGGTTCAAATCCCATCAAATAAGGCTCTAATTAAAATTCACCTGAACTATTTTTTTCATTGTATAATTATTTTTTAATTCTTAATGACCCATATTGACCTCCTTTTTCTTAAGGGGAACAAAAAAGGGAGAAATTAAAAAAAAAAAAAAAAGCAAGGCAGGGAAAAGAGCAGATGAACTAGACGATGTTATGATGCCTTTTTAAAACGCAGCCTGAGAATTGGGTGTGCAGTACAGAGATCAAGAGGAGACTTAATTAGGGCTCAAGTGCTCAGTTCATAGTTCTTCGGTCTTTATAAAAGCTAAGAGCAAAGCTAAATCATGTGTAATTTGCCATTATTTTCCCAGATAGCTCTTCCAGAAATGTTATTTTTCACCTGCCTTTTCATTTCTTTTTTTTTCATCTTGAAAGCATGGTATCAGACCTTGTATATACAGCGCACCACTTGCCTGCCGCCAGACAGAGAAGTGACAACACTTGTCACTACCAATCTCTTCAAGTCTGGTCTCATCTGAGCAATACATACAGACTGATTTCCAGGTGTTTGTTGAAACTCCAAGTTATGTAACATGTCTTTGCTGTGCTCAGAAGTGAAAAAGCAGAATCACAGGGGGAATAAATCCTTAACTTTCTAAGAACTCTGAGGGAGCACAATACTGATTTTAGCCCAATTCCACATTATTGAAGGGATCACTTTGCTACAGAGAGGGGGAAGCATCACAAGCTGAAGAGGGAAACTAATGAATTGAGTAGTGGTCAAGGAGCAATGATGGGAAACTTTTACAAACTTTTTAAAAATCAAAGCAATATGAGTGTAACGTTCATAGAGAATTTAACCACTACTAAAAACACTATATATTAAAAATATATATATAAGTCTCTCTGTTCACTTCCCCACTCATATACCATCCAAGGACAACTACTTTGTCAATGCTTTGAACTATGTCTACTGCTATGTAGCTATATTGTGATTTATCAACTTAAAACATAATCTTTTGGCCACTTAAAATAGTAGGTGAAGATTTCAGCTCTTTTACACACACACGCACGCACGGGCACACACACACACAC